GATATTTTTTTGCGCCGCCCTATCAGTAAATCAGAAATTGATTATTCACTAGTGAGAATTTGGTTTTGGATATTTCAAATTGTTTCGATCCTTCGAAATAATCAGTCGTCCTAAAGATTTAGCTTGAGCAATTAATAATTGATATTTGTTGCTTTTGTTGAGGTTTGAGAAGATTTTTCAAATTGAATGGATCGGACGTTGAAAAGAATATCTGAAATGGATTGAACGAAAAAAGCGTGATTGGTTGAAAATAATTGAGGTGAATGTCCAGCAAATAAATACATTAGACGAATGAATAACGGATACAGAATATGTATATAGCTGAATTTTAATTCAGATCATACAACTTCACAATCAGATAGCACTCGAATAATCAGTGAACGTAAGGTTTCCAAATATTTTTCGTTGTGGTGGTAGTGGTGGTCTTTCGTCGTGTTCTGGCGCCGATTGGCCCGTCATTGGTGGTTTCCGATGGGTCGTTATCACTAGACTTTGATGGGTTTCTCGTATTATTACTGCTGGCGTCTTTACCGCTACTGCTATCGTTATTATCCTTATCATTATTACTGTTGTTGCTGTTATCACTAGTGGTATTAGTATTGTTATTAGAATTATCAATATTGACAGTTGTTCTATCATTGCGCATGTTATTGTGACTGGTGTTGGGGGTGAGTGTAGACGATGGATTCGATGGAAAAATGGTTGCCTGATGAGGGTTTCGGACTGAGTTAACAGAGGCACAGAGATGCTGTTGTTGTTGTTGATGGTGTTGTTGATGTATTTGTTGTAAACGATACAAGGCGGCAGCGTGTTGGGATCGTGTTGTTATCGAGGATACTGTCATGGGTAGCAGCCCACTAGAGGCGACCACGCTGATTGGCTGTTGCAGGTGAGCACAGCCCATCGATGATACGCTTACAGGAAAAGCCAATTGCGTTGATTGATGGTGGTGCTGCTGTTGCTGTTGTTGTTGTTGTTGCTGTTGCAATACGGTAAGTGCGCCTGCTGGCACTACGGTAGACTGGCCACCACTAGTGATCACTGTTGTGNCCCATCGATGATACGCTTACAGGAAAAGCCAATTGCGTTGATTGATGGTGGTGCTGCTGCTGCTGTTGCTGTTGCTGTTGTTGCAATACGGTAAGTGCGCCTGCTGGCACTACGGTAGACTGGCCACCACTAGTGATTACTGTTGTGCAGCCAGGTGTTTCGCCAACACTGGCAACGCAACCGGCCACCGTCGCCGCAGTGGGAGCTCCGAGTAGGGCATAGGAATGCGGGTGGTGGTGATGATGGCTGGCCGGATGGAAGATGCTCGGCGGTAGAATGGTTGGAATAGAGGACATTGTAATGGTGGGCACAGGTCTGGCGATCAACTCGTCGCTACCCATTAGACGTCGTCGGGTTTTCGACGCTATCATCGAGTTTTCTGTGATGGCTGATATGGCTGCTGCTGTTGTGGCTTGGTTAGGGCTGTGAATCGATGCCATTATATGACGATCCATAACTGAAGAGGTAATGCGTTTGTTTTGTTTTTTGAAAAGGCAATATATTGAAACTGAAATTTTTAATGCCAACTTGAAATTTGAAATTTTCGTTTTGAAGAGGCAACTTTAAGCAGCACGTACCTGTTCGTTTATTATTACGTGAATCACGAGGACCATCGACAGTCACCTTGATCGCTTTGCCGACAATCGCAATTTGCGCTGGCTTCGTTTCGATTGTTATCGTCAAGTGAAAGTTCTTTCCTTCAACAATTTTCGTTAATTCATTACGAATCGAATTGAAAAGTAATCAAAGAACCACGCAAATGATACAAATCAACTGAAATGCCAAACAAAACTCATTCAATTAATCACACTGACTTTGTA